TGGCGTTGAACAGGCTAGGAAACCTTCAGCGGAGTTCAGGGGATGTCGTTGTTGGGGTTCTCCTGCTTCTAAGGGCTTCAGGGGTGGGGATTAGGTCTGTGATGGGGAGGTCATGTCAGGTGAGGGTCTTGGGATGGATCACGACAGGTGAGGGTCTTATGGGTCAGGTGTGGGTCACGTCAGATGAGGTTCTTGGGATGGGTCAGGTGTGGGTCATGTCAGGTGAGGGTCTTGGGTCATGTCAGGTGGGTCTAGTGATGGGTCTTGTGATGGGTCAGGTGAGGGTCACAGGTGAAGGTCTCATGATGGATCAGGTGAGGGTCACAGGTGAGGGTGGTGAGGGTCACGTCAGGTGAGGGTCTTGTGATGGGTCAGGTGTGGGTCATGTCAGGTGAGGATCTTGGGTCATGTCAGCTGAGGGTCTAGTGATGGGTCTTGTGATGGATCAGGTGAGGGTCACAGGTGAAGGTCTTGTGATGGGTCAGGTGTGGATCATGTCAAGTGAGGGTCTAGTGATGGGTCAGGTGAAGGTCTAGTGATAGGTCAGGTGAGGGTCACGTCAGGTGAGGCTCTAGTGATGGGTCGTGATGGGTCAGATGAGGGTCACAGGTGAGGTGATGGGTCACCTCAGGTGAGGGTCTTGCGGTGGGTCACACCAGGTGAGGGTCTTGTGATGGGTCACACCAGGTGAGGGTCTTGTGATGGGTCATGTCAGGTGAGGGTCTAGTGATGGGTCACGTCAGGTGAGGGTCTAGTGATGGGTCACAGGTGAGGGTCATGTGATGGGTCACGTCAGGTGAGGGTCTAGTGATGGGTCACATCACGTGAGGGTCCAGTGATGGGTCACGTCAAGTGAGGGTCTAGTGATGGGTCACAGGTGAGGGTCTTGCGATGGGTCACGTCAGGTGAGGGCCTAGTGATGGGTCACGTCAGGTGAGGTGATGGGTCTTGTGATGGGGAGGTCACATCAGGTAAGGCTCTTTGGCAGGTGAAGTGCTGGTGGAAGTGGGGGATTGCGCGGGATGGTTGAGGGCCGGTGCTGTCGCTCTGTTGGCTGTGTGGTTGATTTGAATTCTGCGGGGTTCGTAGGCTGGTTGTGGGTCGATGGGTCTGTGGATGGAATTGTTGGCGGAGTGCCAACCCACACAACCCCCCCCCCCAGCCATCACTTCACCTCCCGGCAACCCTCACCTGAGGTGACCCACCCTCCACCCTCCTCCTTCACCCCAGCTGCAGATATTCACCAAGCCCTGCACCGGCCATGGAAGCCCAGCCAGATGTGCTCCTGGTGGCCATCAAGGGAGGGTGATGTCCTCTTTCTGGCCTCCTTGGGCTTCCCGTCGTCATCTTGCCCCCCCCTCCCCTTTGCCTCCCCAGGTGGAAGAGGTCTACTCCTTGGTGCACCAGACCATGGACCAGCCCCAGGTCAAAGACTACGTGCCCTTCTCCTGGACCTCCATGGTGCACGTCAAAGCCGAACACTTCAAGGCCCTCTCCCACTATTACGCCGCGGTGGCACTTTGTGACTGCCCAGGTGAGTAACCACATTTGCCAAGAGCTCCTCTTGTTCCCACAAAGGACCGTCTGAGGAGGAGGAGGAGGAGGAGGAGGAGGAGGAGGAGGAGGAGGAGGCAGGGGACTCCATTACGTAGGGAAAAAATAAATCTGAGCTGTAGGGCGTCCGTTGATATGATGAAGCCTCTTTTTTCCTCCTTTCCTTTTTTCCTTCCTCCCTCCCTCTTTCCTTCCTTCCTTTCTCCCTCCCTTCTTTTTCTCTCCTCCTTCCCTTCTCCCTCTCATCTTCCTTCCTTCCTTCCTTCCTGCCTGCCTGCCTTCCTCCTTCCCTTCCCCTTCTCATCTTCCTTCCTGGATGATTGAGAAGCTCCATAGACATCTGGGAGTTGAAGTCCACAAGTCCTAAAGGGGGCCCTCGTTCCCCACCCCTGGTCTAAACCAAGGAAGATCCAGCATCTCTCCATCCCTTCTTCCAACCAATCTTCTCTTTATTTCTGCAGCCACGTCGGAGGTGCCTTTTCCCGAGCATGAAAAAGCATTCCTCCAGTTTCACGTCTCCACGCCGGAAGGACCGGCTCCTTCTTTGCTTTTGCAAGACCAGGAAGCCCGCCGTCGACTGGGTGAGTGACACCTTCCCTTCCCCCTCCCAAACTCCTTCTGGGTGCAGAAATGAGGACAAGGTCAAACAAGAACAGGGACCCCTCCTTGATTGCAAGGAGTGTCCAGGAATCCTCAACTGCTCATTCAGTGTCCGTTCAAAATTACCACGGCACTGAAAAGAGTGACATAATAATAATAATAATAATAATAATAATAATAATAATAATAATAATAATAATAATAATAATAATAATAATAGTAATAGTAATAGTAATAGTAATAGTAGTAATAGTAATAGTAATAGTAATAGTAATAGTAATAATAAAGTTGGAAGGGACCTTGGAGGTCATCTAGTCCAACCCCCTGCTCAGGCAGGAAGCCCTATACCAGGGGTAGGCAACCTTGGCTCTTTTATGACTTGTGGACTTCAGCTTCAAAGCAAAGCTGGCTGAGGAATTCTGGGAGTTGAAGTCCACAAGTCATAAAAGAGCCAAGGTTGCCTACTCCCTACCCTATACCATTTCGGACAAATGGCTGTCCAGTCTCTTCTTAAAAACTTCCAGTGTTGGAGCATTCACCGCTTCTGGAGGCAGGTTGTTCCACTGGTTAATTGTTCTAACTGTTAAGAAGTTTCTCCTTAGTTCCAGGTTGCTTCTCTCCTTGCTTAGTTTCCATCGGTTGCTTCTTGTCCTGCCTTCAGGCGCTTTGGAGAATAGCTTGACTCCCTCTTCTTTGGGGCAGCCCCTGAGATACTGGAACGCTGCTATCATGTCCCCCCTCGTCCTTCTCTTCATTAAACTAGACATACCCAATTCCAGCAACCGTTCTTAATATGCTTTAGCCTCCAGTCCCCTGATCATCTTTGTTGCTCTTCTCTGCACTCTTTCCAGAGTCTCAACATCTTTATTACATCGTGGTGACCAAAACTGGATGCAGGATTCCAAGTGTGGCCTTACCAAGGGATTGTAAAGTGGTATTAACACTTCACGTGATCTTGATTCTATCCCTCTGTTAATGCAGCCCAGCACTGTGTTGGCCTTTTTGGCAGATTTACAACTTATGACCCTCACAACATCCCCAAGGTCACATGATCAAAATTCCAGCACTTGACATATATAGATAGTCAACTCCAAAGTCCCTTCCAACTCCGTTCTTCTGTCCTTCTATTATTTAGACCAGGGCCCTCAAGCTTGGCAACTTGAAGACTTGTGGACTTCAACTCCCAGAATTCCTCAGCCTGGCTGAGGAATTCTGGGAGTTGAAGTCCACAAGTCTTCAAGTTGCCAAGCTTGAGGAGCCCTGATTTAGACCTCTGTCTCCTAGCCAACCGCCAGAACTTTGCATTGTGACCTTCGTTTGTCGTGGATTCTGGAAGGGCCAATATTCCCATCCCACTTCTGGGAAGAATGTAGACTCGTTTCCGTAAGAGTCAACAATTTTTTTTGTTGGTGTGAATTGTAGAGCTTCTTCTGGTAGAACTGCTTCCGTTTTTTTAAAAAAATTAAGTCGGTTCCATCTACTCACACGATTCTATTTAAATTTAGGGTAAGAATACCGGTTTTTTTAGCCCACCGGTGAAATTTAGAGGATAATTTCGCTAGGGCCATTGACGTTGACGGATGGAGCAGGTTTGAGGTTTCTTGTGCACTGAGGTGTTTATGAGACAGATCAGAATCAGAATAGAGCTGGGAGGGACCTTGGGGGTCATCTAGTCCAACCCCCTGCTCAGGCAGGAAACCCTATACCATTTCGGACAAATGGCTGTCCAGTCTCTTCTTAAAAACTTCCAGTGTTGGAGCATTCACCGCTTCTGGAGGCAGGTTGTTCCACTGGTTAATTGTTCTAACTGTCAGGAAGTTTCTCCTTAATTCCAGGTTGCTTCTCTCCTTGATCAGTTTCCATCCGTTGCTTCTTGTCCTGCCTTCAGGGGCTTTGGAGGATAGCTTGACTGCCTCTTCTTTGAGGCAGCCCCTGAGATACTGGAAGGCTGCTATCATGTCTCCCCTCGTCCTTCTCTTCATTAAACTAGACATACCCAATTCCAGCAACCTTTCCTTATATACTTTAGCCTCCAGTCCCCTGATCATCTTTGTTGCTCTTCTCTGCACTCTTTCTAGAGTCTCAGCATCTTTTTCACATCGCGGTGACCAAAACTGGATGCAGTATTCCAAGTGTGGCCTTACCACACTTTGTTGTGTTGTGTTGTGTTTTTACAGGGAAAGCTCACCTCAAGAAAGCCATCATCAAGCATGAGGAGGCCATGAGGATCCACAGCTTGTGCAAAATCCTGAGGAAGATGGATATCCTGCAGGAGGTCCTGTCGCTGGCCCACAAACGTTCCCTCAGCAAATATTCCGAAATTGACCACGAGGAAGATTTCTTTGAAACGGCAGAAGCCCCCGACATTCGTCGTGAGTGTCAGCGCTGCCACTGAGCAGGGCGGCAGCCATTTTCCTGCTCGTTCTGGGTCGCCACAAAGAAAAGAGGGAGGGGGCTGCCTAGATGCTTTGCTTGTCATAATACAGTAGTGGCCAAAATTGTGGAAACCATTTGGGAAAAGTGTATTTTTGAGGTTTGATGGCTAATGACACCACTTTTTTGGGAGCAGTACCATAAAATTGTATATCAATGGAAAGATAATTTAATCAAGAATGTAAGCTATGGCAAATCTAGACAGCGTACTAAAAAGCAGAGACGTCACCCTGCCAACAAAAGTGTGTATAGTCAAGGCCATGGTTTTCCCAGTTGCAATGCATGGTTGTGAAAGTTGGACCATAAGAAAGGCTGAGTGCCAAAGAATGGAGGCCTTTGAACTACGGTGCTGGAGAAGACTCCTGCGAGTCCCCTGGAGTGCAAGGCAATCCAACTGGTCAGTCCCCGACTGCTCTTTAGAAGGCCAGATCCTGAAATTGAAACTCAAGTCCTTTGGCCACCTAATGAGAAGGAAGGACTCCCTGGAGAAGAGCCTGATGCTGGGAAAGATGGAGGGCAAGAGAAGAAGGGGACGACAGAGAAGGAGGTGGCTGGATGGAGTCACTGAAGCAGTAGGCGTGAGCTTAAATGGACTCCAGAAGATGGTAGAGGACAGGAAGACCTGGAGGAACGTGGTCCATGGGGTTACAATGGGTCGGACATGACTTCGCAATTAACAACAACAACAATGCAACAAAGTTTGTTCAATTATATGTACTGTATTCCATGAAAATAGCCAAATAACCAGAAAAAGGAAGCACAACTTGCTTAGGTTGATCTCAGGTAGCTTTCCTTCATCTGATTGTAGCCAATGAGCAGGAGTGCTTAGAGAGCCAATCGAGTCATCTTGTTTTGGCCATGAACCAATCAGATCACAGTAGGATCCAGTGATGGATGTCCTGTATTGAAGCTGAGAGGAGGACATTTGTCAGTGTGTTATGTGATCGCTATCAAGTTGGTTGGGTTTTTTTGTGTTCTTTCATTTTGTGAGCTTGTAAAGCGTAATAAAATAACGCAAAGAGTTGACTGGTCACCCAGGAAGCGATGTAAAATAGTATTATTAAGTGAACAAGGCTACAGTTATAAAGAAATTAGAAGGAAAATGGGTGGACAACCTTGGCTCTTTTATGACTCGTTGACTTCAACTCCCAGAATTCCTGAGCCAGCATGGGGGAACTATGGCCCCTTCATGACTCGTGGACTTCAACTCCCAGAATTCCTGAGCCAGCATGGCTCAGCTTGGAAACCTCTCCCTTTCCCCTCAGCATGGCTGGCTCAGGAATTCTGGGAGTTGAAGTCCACGAGTCATAAAAGAGCCAAGGTTGCCTACCCCTGCCCTTTACCAACTCAGATAAATGGCTGTCCAATCTCTTGTTAAAAAATTCCCTCGATGGAGCACCCACAACTTCTGGAGGCAAGCTGTTCCACTGGTTAATGGTTCTCACTGTTAGGAAGCTTCTCCAGGTTGCTTCCCTCCTTGATGAGTTTCCATCCATTATTTCTTGTCTTGCCTTCAGGTGCTTTGGAAAATAGGTTGACACACACACCCCTCTTCTTTGTGGCAGCCCCTCAAATGTTGGAAGACGGCTATCGGGTCACCCCTAATCCTTCTTTTCACTAAGTCGTATCCAATATCTAAGATCTGATATCTAAAAACAGAGCCATGCAGGGCTTGAAAGATTAAATTAATACTTGGAATTGTGCCTGGAAATCTCATGTAATGCAACACCCACAACATAGATGCCAGGTAGCTAGAACAGTTGTGGCCTCCTGGCACACAAATAGCTCCAGCTGGCTCCAATTCCAGTTTCTGATCAATCTTCAAGGGTGGTGCCACTTGCCATGCATTGCAGTAATCTACCCTGTGGTGACAAGGACAGGAATGAGGGTCACCATGTCCAGATGGGTTGAGGCTAACATGTTGACCAAAACAGGGTGAAGACCCTTGGCCTACAGCTTCCACCTGCCCTTCCGATAGGAACCACGATTCCAGCATGACCCCCTAATTGACAGCCATTACATTTTCATGTAACAACAGCTTTTGAAACAGACAACACAACAGGGTTGGGTTCAACCATGGCCTCCACTGACCAGTATCAAAGACATCTTGTGTTGGTGTTTCGTGAAGGATCAAAGGACTGATTATGCTCACTGAATTGTGTTCAACTCTCCCTTCGTGGCTTCTGAAATTCTAAGTCTCATCCCGGCTCTTTTTCAGAAGTTCTGAAATGTTCTAGGTTGTTCTAGGCCAGGGGTAGGCAACCTTGGCTCTTTTATGACTCGTGGACTTCAACTCCCAGAATTCCTGAGCCAGCATGGCTCAGCTTGGAAACCTCTCCCTTTCCCCTCAGCACGGCTGGCTCAGGAATTCTGGGAGTTGAAGTCCACGAGTCATAAAAGAGCCAAGGTTGCCTACCCCTGCTCTAGGAGGCTCACCGCTTAGAGCAGGAGGACTTAGGACAGGGGCAGGCAACCTTGGCTCTTTTATGACTGGTGAACTTCAACTCCCAGAATTCCTGACCCAGCATGGAGGAACTATGGTCCCTTCATGACTCGTGGACTTCAACTCCCAGAATTCCTGAGCCAGCATGGGGAACTATGGCCCCCTCATGTCTGGTGGACTTCAACTCCCAGAATTCCTGAGTCAGGATGGCTAAGCATGGAAACCTCTCCCTTTCCCCTCAGCATGGCTGGCTCAGGAATTCTGGGAGTTGAAGTCCACGAGTCGTACAAGAGCCAAGGTTGCCTACCCCTGTTCTAGGCTGAAGGACTAGGAACTTGCCCGAGGGTCAAATTCTGTATTTAGATGCGTAGAAAACACACTTTTGTGGTTTTAGGTCCGTCTTCAGGGTGAACTAAAGGATGGAAGGAACCAAGTTCCCAAGTTGTAACGTTCTCCCCTCTTCTTGTGTTTTTCTAGCCAAGACTCACCAGAGACCCGAAATCAAATCTCCCAATTTCTCCAAGGTGAAAGTCACAGACATCTTTCATAGGCTGGTAAGTTAGATATCTCCTGCGAGAGGACCGTGTTGTGCGGACGGTTCTTCAAAGAACCGGAGCCAAAAAAATCCTGTGTGTTGTGATTTCCAGTGTACACTTGTGCATATCAGCGCATGCTTCTCCCGCTTTGACCCGGGAAAGTGGATGGACACAAGCCGATGGAGTAAAAATTGGAGCTTCCTGATAGACTTAGTTGCCCTCAAGTCCATTCTAAGTCCAGGAGATTGCAAGAACCGACGTTCACCACCGCACCTTGTCTCCAGCAGTCATTCATAGCTGTTTCCAAGGACAGATGTTTCATCATCTCCTTGACTCTTGTCCATCCTTCCCTCAAATTTGTCAGGGGTAATTGGTAGCTCTTCCAAAGATTTTTCCAGTCAACCAACACACATTATCTTTCCGTTCTACTTTTCTCAGCTTGGACAAGTAGAATAATTTTGTCTAGGTCAGGGGTAGGCCACCTTGGCTCTTTTATGACTCGTGGACTTCAACTCCCAGAATTCCTGAGCCAGCCATGCTGAGGGGAAAGGGAGAGGTTTCCAAGCTGAGCCATGCTGGTTGAGGAATTCTGGGAGTTGAAGTCCACGAGTCATGAAGAGGCCATATTTCCCCCATGCTGGCTGAGGAATTCTGGGAGTTGAAGTCCGTGAGTCATGAAGGGGGCCATAGTTCCCCCATGCTGGCTGAGGAATTCTGGGAGTTGAAGTCCGTGAGTCATGAAGGGGGCCATAGTTCCCCCATGCTGGCTGAGGAATTCTGGGAGTTGAAGTCCGCGAGTCATGAAGGGGGCCATAGTTCCCCCATGCTGGCTCAGGAATTCTGGGAGTTGAAGTCCGCGAGTCATGAAGGGACCATAGTTCCCCCATGCTGGCTCAGGAATTCTGGGAGTTGAAGTCCACCAGTCATAAAAGAGCCCAGGTTGCCTACCCCTGGCCTAGGAGGCTCACCGCTTAGAACAGGAGGACCTAGGACAGGGGTAGGCAACATGGGCTCTTTTATGACTCGTGGACTTCAACTCCCAGAATTCCTGAGCCAGTCATGCTGAGGGGAAAGGGAGAGGTTTCCAAGCTGAGCCATGCTGGCTTAGGAATTCTGGGAGTTGAAGTCCATGAGTCATGAAGGGGGGCATAGTTCCCCCATGCTGGCTCAGGAATTCTGGGAGTTGAAGTCCACGAGTCATGAAGGGGCCACAGTTCCCCCCATGCTGGCTCAGGAATTCTGGGAGTTGAAGTCCACGAGTCATAAAGCGGCCTAGGCGTAGGCCAGAGGTAGGCAACCTCGACTCTTTTATGACTCGTGGACTTCAACTCCCAGAATTCCTGAGCCAGCCATGCTGAGGGGAAAGGGAGAGGTTTCCAAGCTGAGCCATGCTGGCTCAGGAATTCTGGGAGTTGAAGTCCACCAGTCATAAAAGAGCCAAGGTTGCCTACCCCTGGTCTAGGTCATACCTCCTTGTGTCCCATCACCAAAGTAGATGAGGTTTTGGTATCCTCTCAAAAGAAGCGTGATCTTCTCCTTGGCTGTTTCCCCCTGCCCAAGTTGTAACTAAGCTTCAAAATTTACTGCCCAGTTAAGCAGGAGTAGCCATGAGCGTGGAGAAATCCAAAAGAGATGAAGTCACTTGTGGAGAACAGCCTATCAGAGGCTCTTGATCACCTTGATTCAGTAGGCCTTGGAGAAGCATCTTTCTATGAGGGTTAGTTAATGGGGAAGAGTGCTCAGAGTGACAAGTGTAATGTGGACTCCTTGGTACTCTCTGAGCTTGGTTGTTTACATGCAGACGTTTCATGACCCAACTAGGGAACATCATCAGTGCTAGAAGGGAGTGGGTGTTTGGACTGGAGGAGAAAGAGAAAGAAAAAGGGGGGAGGAAGGAGGAGAAGGAGGAGGGTGGGGTCTTTGCTGCTCTCTGAGCTTGGCTGTTTTCTTGCAGACGTTTCATGACCCAACTAGGTAACGTCATCAGTGCTAGGAGGGAGTGAGGGTTGTTCTTATTTTATACATTAGTGGTTTTCCCTGTCACTGTTGGTGGGAGGGTTCTTGGTGGTTCGTTGATTAGGCTGTTGTTAGTTGTTTGATAGTTGGTCTAGTCTTGATATTAATCTTTAGATCTCTAATCTCTAGAGAGCAAACCCCACATTCTTCTAGCACTGATAATGTTCGCTAATTGGGTCATTAAACGTCTGCAAGAAAACGACCAAGCTCAGAGAGCACCAAGGACCCCACAGTCCTCCTCCTCCTCCTCCTCCTCCTCACTACTCCACAAACCTCCCTCCCTTCTACCACTGATGATGTTCCCTAGTTGCGCAAGAAAACAATCCAGCTCAGAGAACACCAAGTTCATCCCTGAGCTACAGATATTCCCTTCTCTTAACTAGTGTAATGTCTGAACAACTTCGTCCTGGTGGCTCAGCCCAGCCCCATCTCTCCCTATCCTCTAGTGCACCATCCTCTGTTTCTTTTTTTCTCCCAGGGCCCCCTGTCCATTTTCTCTGCCAAAAATAAGTGGCATCCCGCACGGACGGTGCACTTGGTCCGCGGAGCAAACGGCTTTGGATTCACCCTCCGAGGCGACTCTCCAGTCCTGGTTGCCGGGATCATCGCTGGTGGGTGCGCGGCGGTGAGTTGCCCGGTCCTGTAACGGCCAAGGTGGGGTCCCAGGTTGCTTTGGAAATCTTATCGGTTATTCTCAGTGTGTTTTGGAGGGGCTGCCAGACCTGCCAGCCCTTGGCTTCGTTTGTTGAGGACCGTCTAGTTCAGTGGTGGCGAACCTACGGCACGGGTGCCAGAGGCGGCACTCAGAGCCCTCTCTGTGGGCACGCATGCTTCACCCCCCGTGACCCCCTCCTCACTACCAGCCCCCCAGAGGAGAGTCGCCCAGGGCACAGCCTGGGCAGAGCAGTGCAGCCAAGGGCATGGCAGCCAGGCGGCGAGGACAAGACTCCGCTCTCGCGCCCCATTGCGTGCAGATGATGCTGCGGGGCGTGGACCGAGGGCGTGGCCGCCATGACACTGCTGGCCACCTGGGCAATCTGCTGTGGCGGGCCGTGGAGGCAGTGGGTGGCCCTGCAGGCAGGAGAGGTGGGGCCGGGGCAGGGGCAAGGCGGTTTTTGGGCACTCGGTTTCTAAAAGGTTCGCCATCACTGGTCTAGTTTTATTAGAAGCCAAGTGCATCGCAGGAACGCGTAGCCTGAACGGAGAATCGCCCACCAAAATCCCTCATAATTGCCTCCCATCACTGACACCCTCCCATATGACGAATCGGGTTGAAGCAAGATGCTTTCAGAACGATGACATAGGCTGGTATCCAGCTGCTTTCTTCTCCCAGCTGGGTGACCTTGAAGCAGCATCTCGGGGAGATACAGAAGTTACGCTTTCCCCCCAGCGTTCTCCCTTCCATCCATCCTCCCCAGAGTTCACGCAGACTGTCAAAGCACACAAGCAAGTGTCAGAAGGCAGCTGACAGGGGCAGCTTTGGGTCAGGGTGGAAATCTGATGCCGGGAGACATTCAGTAGAAGCTCAAGAACACTTGACAAAGTTGATCAGACGGTCAGTTGGTCCTTGGCCAGTGAGGTTGGTCTTTGGCCAATCAGAGCCGGGTCCGTGCATCGACAAAACAGATGCCTCTCCAAGAACTTTGGGGCCTGGGAGAACAGATAGGTGGAACCTGAGTCCCTGGACACAGACACAAGGACGTACTTCATCACCCAAGTCAACAAAGAAGGGCGTGACCTCGGCCACCGTGAGGAACCTCAAAGGGAGAGCATGCAAAATTAATGGCCGAGAAGGATAGTCTGTCGGCAGCCACCAACCGCGAGAGGTAAACCGATCTCGCTGATGCCGGGTGTCCAGAAGACCAGCTGCCAGATGGCAAACAACAGGAGGGGAAAAAAAGTTGTTTTGATGGAGCTAATTCGGGCGACGTGTTTCCAACCCTACCTCTTTTTCCGTGCCCCTCCTGCGGCGTGTTGGTCTTGCGTCGCTCTTTCCCGGCTGGCCTTCCCCAGGGTCTCCCTCCCCTCCCCCCCTCCCCAGCCTCTTCCCCCCCTCCCCCCCATCTGAACCAGCTCCAGCAAAATCACACCCGCTTCTATCTCGACAGGAAGCTGGCTTGAAGGAAGGGGACTACATTGTCTCCATCAACGGCCAAGACTGCAGGTGGTCCAAACACGCCGATGTGGTGCAGCTGCTGAAGGTGGCCGGAGAGGAGGGGGTGAAGGTGGGCGTTGTCACCCTGCTGCCCCCGGAAGGACAGAATGCGGTAAGGCGAGGAGGGGGGTGGGGGGGTGGATGATGGGTTAGGGTGGAACCCAATTGTTCTGGGACCTTGGGGGAGGGGGGTCTCTTAAGAAGGCTCGCCATCTTTGACATGGAGTGAACAAGGGTGCTGAAAAAAGTGACTTCCGGCCGTTTTTCACCCTTAGGACCGTTGCGTTATCCCCCCCGTGGTCATGTGATCAAAATTTGGGACGCTTGGCAACTGGTTCATGGTTATGACGGTTGCAGTGTCCCGGGATCCCCTTTTGCGACCTTCAATGGGCAAGCCAGATTGACTTAAGAACCAGGTTGCTAACTGAATAAGTGGCAGTGGTTCCCTTAAGAACTAGGGCGAGAAAAGTCGTAAAATGGGGCAAAAACTCCCTTACGCAGAGGTCTCGCTTAGCCACGGAAATCTCGAGCTCAATTGTGGTCGTAAGGCGAAGACTAAACCTCTTCTGGATCCTTCTGGCCTTCCTTTTCCTCTGTCTGGTAAACTCGCAAGATTCGTTTTTCTTAGCATGTGTCTGTGTACACCCGAACTAGATTGTGTTTTTTCTCTGGGTCATATGTGTGTGTGCATGTTGGTAAATTATTGTTGTTGTTGTTGTTGTTGTTTTTAAGTTTTTAAGAAGAGACTGGACAGCCATTTGTCTGTAATGGTATAGGGTTTCCTGCCTGAGCAGGGGGTTGGACTAGATGACCTCCAAGGTCCCTTCCAACATCATCATCATCATCATCATCATTATCATTATCATCATCATTATTATTTAATATTTATCATTATTTAATATTGATCATTATCATTATTATTTAATATTTAATTATTTAATAAAAACAGCCACTGTGAGAGGGACCTTGGCATCCTAGTGGACGATCACTTGACTAAAAGCCAGCAGTGTGCAGCAGCTGCCAAAAAAGCTAACACAATCCTGAGTTGTATAAACAGAGGATATAGAATCAAGAACACGCAAAGTACTAGTACCGCTTTATAAAACCCTAGTGAGGCCACACCTGGAATACTGCATCCAGTTTTTGGTCACCAGATCACAAAAAGGATGTTGAGAGTTTGGAAAAGATTCAGAGAAGGGCAACTAAGATGATCAAAGGCCTGGAGACCAAAACATACCAAAACATACAAAGAACGGCTGTGGGACTTGGGTTTAGCTAGTCTAAAGAAAAGAAGAAATAGGGGAGACATGATAGCAGCGTTCCAATATTTGAGAGGCTGCCACAAGGAAGAGGGGGCCAGGTTGTTCACCAGAGCACCAGAGGGAAGGACGAGAAACAATGGTTGGAAATTGATCAAGGAAAGAAACAACCTGGAATTAAGGAGAAACTTCCTGACAGTGAGAACAATTAACCAGTGGAACAGCTTGCCACCAGAAGTTGTGGGTGCTCCATCACTGGAGATTTTTAAGAAGAGACTGGACAGTCACCTGTCTGGGATGGTGTAGGTTCTCCTGCTTGAGCAGGGGCTGGACTAGAAGACCTCCAAGTTCTCTTCCAACTCCTATTCTATTCTATTCTATTCTATTAATTACAGAACAATTAATTAAGAACAATTAACCAGTGGAACCACCTGCCTCCAGAAGCGGTGAATGCTCCAACACTGGAAGTTTTTAAGAAGAGACTGGACAGCCATTTGTCCGAAATGGTATAGGGTTTCCTGCCTGAGCAGGGGGTTGGACTAGATGACCTTCAAGGTCCCTTCCAACTTTATTATTATTATTATTATTATTATTATTATTATTATTATTATTATTATT